ATATATATAATATATATATATATATATATATATATATATATATATATATATATATAACCCCCTTAGAAGGCTTCCTGTCCATTAGGCTTTTTTTTCCCGTTTAAAGAATTACCTGTTCTGTGCTGTTTTCCAGAGACAGGCTTCCCAGGAACTTTCTCCCATATTTATGTATTTTGTTTTGCGCTTTTCTAAATAGATACAAAAATGGTAGGTACCCACTGGCATTTAATCTTAGCCACAGCTTGTTGACTGATTTGATCAAGGCCTTAGGAGACTTTACAGTGCAAGATAGCATTTGTATTTCTTACAGCTCCAAAACTGGACAGTGTGGCTCCTAGGAGGTTTATTTACAGTATGTAGCATCAGGTTACATGATGCAACATTACTGTTACAACATTTTTAACCTGTACTCAACTATTCTGTGAGGGAAGAACACAAGCAGGAATGAATAGAGAATAGTTTTGTTGAAAATTATTGAAAGGATGAAATTACATAAAACTAATGCCATGTGACCTATACATTTATGTCACAATCCATTTAAAGAAAGTATTATCTACTGCATTTCTGAAGGAAATGTATTATTAAATGAGAGGTAACAATCCCAGTTAAAAGAACCTCAAATCATTAAGACAACATAACATTCTGCTTGTTAAGAATTCTTGTGCCTGAAGGGTAAAAATCATATGATACTAGATAGAGTTCACACATTTTTCAACTGAACAGATAGCTGCTGTCATAAGGTTGAAGAAAACATACAAGAAAAATGTAAAACTGAACAGCATAACTTTGTATTGGAAGGGGGGGGACACTTTTGACAAGACAACACCAATGGAAACTTAAATACATTTCACTTTCAAACTCACTGAAAGAGAACCACCTGAAGACAGAACTGCTGTTACTGCTGCCTGTGTCTGTGAGCCGCTTGTAACACAACTGAGACAAGGAGAAACAGAACCCCCCCTAAACAACACAACACACATCCACCATCCCCAATCCAGTCTTGATGGGAAACTTGATAATGTTTTAACAGAAATTCGAAGCGTTTTGTTTCAATAACAATGTTAAAAAGCAAGAAGATCTTTCCTTAATATAGAAAATTAGCAGCAAGGCTGTAGTTAATAGAATGTAAATCATCATGCTATAGAAAGTAAGTCAAAATCTACTTCCTTATGATTTGGAAAAGAAAAATTTGACAACAGTAGCCTTTTTTACTTTTGGCTGATTGCCATGGTAGGAAGTGGAGGTTGGGGATAGAAAATAGTTCTGTGACATGTATAGTAAAATGAAAGAAGCAGGTCCCAGGAACTTTCTACTCTCAAACTACTGAAAGGACACAGATTAGGGGTCAGGGCAGCTGACAAATGCTCACATAATATTTTATTTATGGATCAGTCTCACCTTTTAATGCACTAATTCAAACAAAAGAACTTGGTATTAAATATGTATTTCAGTAATTCAGGTCCAATTATCAAATAAGTTTGTAACTACAGATTTTCATTCACATATATTACCCTACTACCAGAGCCTGAGACTTATCTATATATAAACATTTAAACTTACTTAGAACATATGCATGCATATCCATGGGTAATTTGAAGAGTTCAAATTAAAGAATGCTTCAGAGATCTACTACCTACTGAAGGTTTGTCTGTATAATATAGAAAGCTTAGTTTAGAAACAAAAAACTTTTACTTTTCAGAAATAGATACTGTTACAAACTGGAGATTTCAGAAGCCCAAGAGCAAATTTACACCAGGTTAGTGATTCAGCAAAAGAAGTTTCTTCCAAAGTCAAAGTTACCTGTATTAAAAAGTTACACAAATCCAAGAATGTGCTTGCAATTTGTATATAAAAAGTGACAACACAAGATCTGATTTTTAGTGACCTTAATACATTTTCAAAGTCCATAGTTGAATCCATATATTCCTTCCTTAAGCTATTATTTGAACTGACGCATGCTAACACTTTTAAGATTTGCATCAAATCATTCACAAGTCTATCACTGCAGCCTATTTTTAAAGATCTATGCTGGTATGCGGGTTGCAGCTTCCTCTTCTGCGTCAGCTCTGTTAGCATTTATTTCTGCCAGTGTTCGACCAAATCGAGTCCACTCGTCGCTGCGAGGAACGGCAATTTGCTGTTGACAAAGAGAACGTTATTTAAACCTACTGATAAATAAAACCAGCTCATTCTGAACAGCAGAATGCTTAAGTAATGTTCAGAAGAGGTTCCGATTGGAAAGCTTACCTTTATTTAGTGTAACTTTTAAAATAGTCTGAACTGCAAAAGGTCTAACTAGTAAAAGAAGCAGAATTTGAGAATCCTGTATTTGAGTATGTAATGATACAATTACAGGTTCACATGATATGTCTCCACCTAAGAGACTACCTCCAAAGGGGAATACTAATGCCATATCCCTATCCAATCAATTGGTTATGTACTACTGCAGTACACATACTTGCAATAGCAACAGCTTCCCTGTAGGAACAAAGTCAAGACTGCTTCACTGCAAAACTGTTCAGTACCTCTCAAGCTAGTCAGAATTCACATGTGCCACAGTTAAAGAAGATAAAATCTCTACAAACAAAACCATTGATTCTTTCATCTTATTTCACCAGCTTTATGATAATGTTTTTACTTTTTGATTGGCTGCCAGATAGCAAGCTAAAAAGTTATGCTAGAATACCTGAAATAGACAGAAAAAGGAAACATGAATTTGAAATAAAAATATAACCTTATTCCTCTAGTCACAAGGAAAAAAGTTGTCCAAAGAAACCTAAGTGTTTTGTAATGTACTTCACAAAATACATGGTATACATACCTCTCCCACGTCATATATAACTATTTGTCCCTCTGAATCACCTACAGCAATCTCTCTCCCAGAATGCGTCCATCTCACACGGTTCAGAGCAGGATTGCCCTCCACAGTAATGCTTGCAGTTGGCACCTGTATCCATTTAAAACACATTGCTAAAAATTCACGAGGATTCCACAAGCTATAGATTACAGAACACACTTAGTCCCTAAGTGTTGAATTAGAAGTAGTGCCCAACATTTCAGCTGATGGAGAGTACATTGATCTCAAAGACTCTTGGTGGCCTTAAGCTATCACATGACCAGAACAACACATCATCTGTCCCCTGGGTAAAGTACAAACACCCAATATCAAAAAGCACATCTGCATTCCTGTCATGAGACAGGAGGCATAGGCATGCATTCAGTCAGACAGCAAGGAGGAGCCCTGGGTTCTCAAGAAAGGTTATGACAGAGGGCAGGGATGAAATCAGCTGCTTTGGCGGGTCGAATCCTGTCCAAAGGCTAAAACCAGGTAATTCCAATTTGAAGCCGTAGGCTGGGATATGCTCCTACAGAACTGCTTTCTTCTATATGCAGTTAGGAGAAGGTGAAATTTAAGTACTGAGTATCTGACAGGTTTTTCCTCTCACCCACCTCCAACAAGGTTTACTCTGGGAAAAGATTTATACTATAATTATGTTTATAATTCACACCAGAAAACATTCAATTCTCTAAGTTTAGAAACAAATTACAATTTCACTGCAGTATTACAATGGCAATAGGAACAACAGTGGTGTGTGGGTAACAGGTTTGTTCCCACTGTTAAGCTATAGGCTGCCAAGGCCATACTGGGGAAGGTCTGTAATCACTTTCACAACATGGATCAGTGTTAGGCTGACAGATGTTTTGCACTCTTGTTACAGGTAAAAGCAATTCAATTACTGCTGTTATTCACTATGAGGAGTCATTTGAGTTACAACCCTGTAATTAAAGAATGGAATCTATTACACAAAAACTAGCGGAACTACAGAACATTTAAGAACAACAACAAAAAACTGAAACAAAACGCTATGGTAAACTCCTGACATTTTTTTCAAAGCATACAAACACTTTTCCAGCCACATTTGACTGTCAACCTGACTGCCTCACCTCAGTATCATTGTTGAGATTCCACAGGTCAAGCCTGCCCATCCCATCCACACAGGCAAACAAAGCAGGGTGAGTTGGAGACCACATCACATCATAAACATAATCTGAGTTGTCTTCAAAGGAGTAGAGAGGTTTGTTATTCTGAAAAAAGCAAACATAACAATGTGATAGCCAAACTCTGCACTTCAAAATTATAAAGCTAACAAGTAAAGCAAAATGCAGAACTTCAACAGCATTATCAGCAATAACTAAAACATGATTCACATTTTGACTTACTTTAAAAAAATGTCTCTGCAAAAACTAGCAAAAAATGAATGCTGTTATTAAAGGGATGCTTTCCAAAGCATGCAGCCTTTTTACTGGCTGATACTATAAAAAAAATCAGTAGCAAGCCAATATTGTAAGAGATTGTAAATTTAATGCATTAAGAATCTTGTAAGTCAAGCCAATGATAAATCAGTGACAGCAATTCAGACAGTTACTGGGAAATTCTAACTCTGCTTCCTCTGCTTTGCATTCCTCAGATTATCATAGTAAGAGAGAAAGGTAATTCTGGCAATGGGAATGATAGGTTTTTCAATTGTGATCCTCATGGAGTTTTAACTGACATCAGTTTTGGTGCTGTCCTTTAGTCCTCCACAAAATTGTAGCAAAACATTTGCCTTATGTGTAATATAAAGTAACTGATTTTACAACATGATTTACATTTGATTACATTGTAATTGATGCTGATAACAAAGGGCAAAAGAATGAACAGAATGGATCAGAAGTATACAAGTGATGTATAATCTGAAAGCAAAGCTTTATGTTGTTAACCACAGTTTTGCTCATCAGTTATCTCCTCTTTGAAAGGATTGCTGCTGGGAACCTAGAGTGCTTCACAGGATTTGACCTCAGTTTACTGAAGTTTAAGTAGCTTACATTATAGCACCACCTTGTGTCAAGGACTACGAAGAAAACCACTGAACTATCTATTTAAGTTACCTTAGTTGTCCAAAGCTTTACTGTCCAGTCAAAAGAAGAGGTGACAAAAAGATGTGAGAAGTCTACAGGTCCAACTGCTGCATGGCAGTTGATACCTGTGATTGGTCCCTGGTGTCCTTCAAACATCTCACTGATTCCAGCTTTGCTGTTTTAGAATATATAACCAAGGTTAATTTATCTGGAAACCATACATCTGCAGACAGATAGCACTGAAATGCAATTTAAATATAGCCAAAAGAAGATTTTGCTGCTTTGTATGGAGGTTACCCCACTGCAAAAGGCTTCACCACAAGATCACAGAAGATTAGGCTTGAATACAGACCTTAACTTCAACATCTATTTTCTGCTAACCTTAAGTGCCAAAATATACCACAGGGAGAAGAGACTCATTCAGCAGGTACAAGTCCACATATTTAACTACATTGTTCTCTAAGCAATAGCTAAAACTTCCATTCATACGAAGAACAAAATCCAGTCCTCGGGAATAAGCATTAAAACTCCCACTAATTTAAGAGAAGTTGCATGTACCTTATGGACACAGGGCTCAGACATAAAACAGTAACAATATATCCCTAATAGCCTCCTATCAGAAGCGATGAAAAAGAAGGGGGGGGAACAGATGGGAAGGATGTTACACAAAAGTGATACAATTTTGGGTATTTTGGAACTAAAAAGCTGTGCAGCAAGGGTGATGTGTATTTGAGATGAAACCTGGCCACTCAATTATATTTAAGAAAGCAATTGATAAGATACAGTCAGACAATTTCAAAATAGATTGAACAGCAGGAGAAAAGCTAGACAATTTAAGATTTGTGCGTGATGTTACTGTACAATTATCTACAGAACTGATACAAAGTTTGGAATGTTCTGCTACAATTCAAATGAATAAACCAGCAGTGACCTGTGCTGCCCTCATCAACACAAACAACTCCTAGTCACTGAAGGCAATGCAGTACCAATTCAATATTCCAACTTCTCTGGTTTTAATGAAGCTCTTGCCCAGGAAAAAGTGTGCACTGGAATTCATATACAGCTATTCTGAACTCCTTTAAGACAAAGGAGTAAATATGCACTATAAATTTTAGGAGTGTAAAGCATGCAGGGACTCATCCTTTCACTATTTTTATTTCCTTTGAAAAATTAAAGTTTGTATTCACCTGCCATGACGGCATGCAGTGTACACTGAGCCTTCTTCACTGCCAACAACAAAGTTGTTGACATCTCCAATAGGGAAGGACATGCAGGTAACAGCCACAGCCTTGGACTGTTTGTGAACCAGCTCCATGCTATCCTGTAGTGAAAATGTCAGCAACTTACTTTAAAAAATTTGAAATATTAACATCTATGAAGTCATTTAGATTTCTCAATCGGAGGTTTTTTAAATTTTATTTTACTTGTACAGAATTGGGCAGGAATAACAAAGTTATTTATTGTTAAAACTGCGTTCACTGCTAACACAAGTGCAACAAAAATACACAGAAGTATCAACACACTATTTGATTCCACAGGTGGGGTAATATTTTATCAAAAAATTTATCAAAGCTACCTTAAGTATAATTCTCTGTGTTAGGAAAATGTTTATTAATGCTTTTTAGATTCACTAATTTTTTTACAAGATATTAATCTGGAATAGATCCTACATATATGCAAAGTTATCTTACCTGTGGTTGGGAAAGCATGTCCAGACTCCAAGAGCATATTTTCCCATCAGTTGAGATACTTATCAAATTATGAGCATTCTGGGTCCCAACAACATTTACACAGTACACTGGGTGCTAAAAAACGTAAAATACTATCAGGAAAAGGAATTTCCAAGTAACAACCAAATCTGGTATAATTAATATACAGCAAAATATACAACTTTACCATTTAACAAAGCTTAAAAGATTGATCACAGTACAGAACAAAGAATACTCCCCGACAAAACCGATACTTGTTTTTCTGACACTGATTTTTATGAAAAGTCAGGTGACTTATGAAAAGTCAGGTGCAGTGATAGCATTGGCAAAATATGGACATAAACATTTAGGCACTATCAATCAAGCGCACTGGACAGAGCTTCCTAGAGGTTAAATACATCTCAACAGGGAACAGTCCTTGAAGATATTTCACCCCCTACCGTGTGAGCAGCAGCTGAAAGGGGAGTTCTCTGCACTGGGGTTCTCTTATTGCTGCGATTATCCCATAGCACTATTTGGCCTGAGTACGTGCCACCAACCACCAGATTGGGATGAAATTTTGCAAATGTAGCTGACATCACTGCTGACTGAAAGGAAAAAAAACCAGAAAAACAGCAAAATACACAAAGACCTATAATTCAACAATGCTACGTCTAAAACTAAAGAAAACGGGACCAAATATCAGAGTAAGTTCTTTGCCTAGATCATTGTCCAGTTCCTAAGGATTCACAAACCCTTTGTCAACCCTCAAGTCTTTTAGTTTTAAGCTGTATTAATAAAATTAAGGTCCTCTTTTCCTCATATGTGTACATTTGTATTCCTCCTAGCATAGTTTGTTAGCAAGAAAAGGCTCAGTAATGCACAAGATTTTAATAATGTTTTGTCACATTCTCAGGTAATTTTCTTAAGAGAATGTACAAATCTGTTTTGATACAATAAAGTTACATTTGTGATCTGGGTTTTGACAGTAATCTGACAACGTGCGATTAAATTTTGACCCAACTACGTAATTTTTCAGAATTAGGGCATTTTGAAAATAAAGTGGCTATCCCAGTCTTGGCATAATGGAAGAGATTTGCATGTTTTTATCTTTCAGAAAACTACCAGAAAACCTCCATCTGCCGCCTTCTTGACACATATGTTTCCAGTTTTCATCCTTGCTCCATCTCCTCAGGCCATCTTCATTTTCCAGTAAACTAAGCTCTAGTAGTATATGATTCCACTCAATCCTCTTACATATAAACCTTCTTTGTGGTTCAACCATTACACAAAGTTTGAAATAAAATAAGAAAATGAATTTTTGAACAAGACTGAATTATGAATGATGTCAGAAATTCTAAAACAGAATGTTTCTAAACTGAAATCTCTAGCTATCAACATCTGTTTGCAAATACATGTGGTTAAAGTGAATGCCAGTCCAATGAAATCATTATGTTGACAAGCATAAGGAAGGTACTTGTCCAAGTTCATCAACGTAAAATCTTTAGGCTCCCAAGACAGAATCATACCTGACAGTGAAAGACGTACTCTGGTGTAGTTTTCTTGTACTTCATATTCCATACAAGGGCCACACCATCAGGCTCATGAGGTGCATCCTCATTGTTGTTATAAGAGGCTACAAGTAATTCCGGGTACTGTACAGTAAGTGAAAAAGACTCAAAGTAAGCAAGATGACTAGCTAAAGGTCCAGACAATCCTAGAATCTTTGTTTTTTTCCTCAACAAAATAGGGTTAAAAAAAACCCACAGCAAACACCAAAAGCCACCTTATGTTATATATGAGAAATTGTCAAAACTGTGTTTCAAATTTAGCTCATAAAACAGCATTAACATATTAGAGTCTTGCTCTGGTTTTCAACATAACTTGCTTTTAAATGTAAAAACCAGTACTTGTAAGTGAAGCTAACAGTTACCTCTACAGAGTAGGCCATAAACCAGGAACAAATATGCCAAAAACTTTCTTCATAATACAAACCTTTGTCTACTTTCAAGATTAACAGCTCTGTTTAGTTTTTGAAAACTATGGAGAATATAAGTAATGCATTTAGAAATACAGCTTGTATCAACTGAACTTACAAAAGGGTCAAATGCACAGAACTAAAAGAATTTACAGAGATAATTGCTTAACATAAGCATTATTTTTTACCTGAGATGACCAGTCCAAACAACTGACAACACGATGCTTTGACCAACGTTCATCAAAAAACTGCCTGTTTAAGGACAGTTTTGCTCCTGCTTGAATCTCTCTATAAAGGCAATTAGCAGATATTAATCTTATATCACATTTTCAATTACAAATATTGCACATGCACAGTGAAGTATTCAATATTCATGTTACCCTTCTTTGTCTTCTAAGTCTCTTCCACTGTAGTCAAAGAAAATGTTGATTTGCTCAGAAAGGGCTCTTTCGACAATCCTTGTGGAATGGTCAAAGAAACTTAGAAATTCTTCAGAATGCAAAATTTGTTGTTTTTCCTCTTCTGTAAGTTCATGAGGGGCAGCTGGAAAAGAAGTATACATACAGTCCTGGACTGCATACTTTCACTAATGCTTTCCAAGAAAGAAAAACAGAGTATTTATCACGATGTTGGAAAATTTGTTTCCTAACATCCATAGGTTTTAAAAACATTCTTGAATTTTATATTTTGCTAGCTGAAATGTAAATCAAATTAATTTCAACTTAAAGAAATTTAAAATTTATTGATGCCTTTCTTTACAACACATTCAGAATGAGGTGAATAGTACCTTCTTCCTCCTCTGCTTTTTTAAATGTTTTTTCTTCCTCAGGTTCAACTAATGGTTTTGGTGCAACCACATCATCTTCATCTTCCTCATCTACGGAGAAACATTATGGTGAGACTATCAGTGTTTTTAAAGAGGAACAGTAACATTCCATATGAATCTCAAATGAGCTGATGAAAATGGTATCATTTAATTTTAAATGGTTATATTTTTAAAATGCAGTCCCCAGTATAACATTATCTCAAACCAAAAGATCACTGGAACACTGTCTACACCTGGATTTTAGTTGCACTAAATGATGTGGTTGTATAAACTGAAATAAGACACATAAGAAATTGAGAAGAAACCGAAGTGGAAATCTCTTACAAACATTTATGATTCCACACAAAACCATGTGGTGGATGCATGTTCTGTGTAACATGCTGACACATTAATGCTGAAGAATAAAGAAAAATCAAATGTCTAAAATAGTCTACAGAGCAGCTGCTTACTTGTGATCTGAAACCATCAGAGTCTAATGGGTCTTCGCATGGCATGAAGATGGCTTACATTAGCTTTCAGGTTGCTATTCTGAGAGGCAAATTTTGCTAAAGATAATGGCAGGGAGATCACATTTTTTCTGTCATTCTAAATGCAAGTCTCATTATCCATATCATGTTTGGCAATGAGAACTTTACAGCAAAATGTGTTTTCCCTAATTGCAATGAATAACATAAAATGTTAATGTTCAGGAATACTGACAAGGTTTACAGCACTTTCTGCATTTCTACATTTTATTCTTTGGATACTGTAAACCAGAAAATAACTTTAAATTACTTAGTGTTGTGGAATATGCATTTTCTATTTTTTCTTCATCCACCTTCTAGGATAAGCTTCTGAAAAGACTATTTTTATTGGTTAAACAGCTATGTCATTTGTTTATAAGGGGATAGCAGCAGGAGTCTGCTGCATGCCTCATCACAAGTAATGAGACAGTATTCAACAGGGACTAGGCTTGTTTGTTGCAGCCATCTCCCTGACCCATGTTCCAAGTTACCTAAAGAAAAAAAAAGTAAAAAACCAGTCCACATGCATGCACACACACACACAAAAAAAAAGTAAGTGTGGTCAAGGGATGGGAACCAGCTGCCAAGCCATGGTCCCAGCAGCTAGGCCAGCTGACTAGATAGCAACAACCAGATGGTACTGCTAGGATTGTCTCTCTGCTATGAGGTGGCAATGGGATGGCACAACATTTTTCTGCCTGACTGCTTCCAATCATGTCTTTCCCCAATGGCAAGCCTGTGCAATTACCAGCACTCCAGGAGGTCTACAGACAAGCCTTTACCCTGCAAACAAAATACAGCTTGTAGGCCATACCAGCTGCCAAACCACACACATAGTGATAGGTTTAAAGAGGTCTGAAAATCTTTCTAACTCCATAGTATAGGCAATAAAAATATAACTGTACCTGCAGGAAAGAAAGCTTTAAATGACACTGTATAATGCACACAATAATACAAACTCCAACTTAATCAAAATGATAATGACGTATGCCAATCCTACATTACTTGAAATTGAGCGATTTTTACGTTCTGACAAGTTTACAGAACTAGGATAAATGGCATGAATGATTTCAATATATGCTCATACTTTTGAACCAAATGGTGAAGGTTAAAATCTTTCCTTTCAAGGGCCTCAATCAGCCACAAAGGAAAACAGTAATCACTGTCTTTTCAGCCAGCCCAACCGCATTTGTCAGCCCTTTCTCCGTCAATGCAGCCAGAGCAATCAACCTGCCAAACATTCAGAATGGAAAAACAATCTGAAAATACAGGGTATAATGCACCTGCCAGTGAAAATGGCCATTTCAAGAAAAGCTAGTGATCTCAGTGACCCTGCTGAGGAGGCGGTGGTGCAAAGGGGAAAGAACGCGTAAAAGAATTCTTGGTGATCTCCACTCTCTTGCACATTGACACTTCCTTACAAAGCATGCCAATTACAGCTTTTGTGCTACTTAAAAAAAATGAAAGCTTTTTTGGGCAAAATAATCACGCAGAGAAACAGAAAGACACTGCTCCTTTTTAGATGGATTCACACGTACAGCGGACTAGTAATCTGAAAACTGTATAACTTATAGCAATTCTAAGGGATGGAATTCTTAATGTCAAATCACTATAGGTGTGAACACTTATTAATTAAAAAAATGCAATATGAGTTAACACACATGATTTTGAGAACAACAAATACAGGATGACATATTCACATTACAGCCACTTGGATAAAAATCCCCTTCTTGTTCAGCCTGCCAATCAATCTTGTGGACTTAAATGATGCCTTCAAATTTAAAAATTTGGTTTTGGGTCACCCTGGATACATTATTCTAGCTTTGAAAGTCCCAAATTAGAAATTGCGGCCCAACCCCCCATTAGTCATACTACACTGATTCTAAGTACCATTTTCAGTGACAGGAGTCAAATTCTTGTCAAATGCAGATGGTCAACCCCTTAGTGCTAAGTGACCTTCTAATCTACATATTTTATTCAAAAGATCATATAGTTGATTGCTCTTGCCTTTTAATGTTGGAAACATAAATGGCATATATTATACAGAGATCTAAATTCCTCCATAGTACTTTCACTACATACAGCCAGCTGATATTAGTGCACTTAAATGCAGGATACAGCACTTATTTTAATATTCTCAAAGTATCAGACTTGAAATTGAACATGTCATCTCACTGTGATTTATCTGTAACTACGTAAATCTAAAACCTCTCTAAAGAAAAGTCATATGCAAACTTTCTCATTATGGGATCTGGAGGAAAAAAAACAACAATGCAAAACAAAAAAGCCCCCCCCCAGGTTCTTGGCTTTCTCATCCAAAACTAAACTAGGATGCTTTCTTGCAGAAGTTTACAATCAAAAAGGGGAGCATGAAGCTGTTAGACAAACAAATACAATATTTTTTTTTTCCCCATTACTTTTCCTGTCTCTCCTTTATCTTAATATTATTTAATAACAGGCCAGGTGCTGGTATTTTCAAGGAATGAGCGTAACAATAAGATACTACCCAGGAAAACACTGAAAGACTGGACATACTATTTCTGAAAAAGTTCCACATCTAGCAAGTCAAGAACCATTATACAGTGGTGTACTGCATTTATTTCAAGTCAGCTACATCATTTGGAAACCCCAAAAAGGCACTGCCTAACTTCATCTTCCTTATTCATTATTGACTGTACCTACTGGCATTTTATGCCACTTCAACTGTCAATATACCAAATACAATTTCACATTTTAAAAAAGGCTGCTAAGACTTAGAAGAGTCATAGGGCGTTAAGACAGGAAAGCAGACTATGTCAGATCAACATATTGATGAATATTCATTATAATATGCTAAGGATTTAACTCTATGTTATTTCTGACAGGCAAACAGGGAAGCTAAGGTTACAAACTGAGCAGTAAAGATTGCATAAAAATAGCAACTACTTTAATAGCCACAAATTCCTTGTCAATGAATGCTAAAAACAGGTTTAATGAACCACTGAATTTTTACTTTGAGTCAACATCAAAATTGTGATGTATTTTGGCAAGACAGAAAGAAAAGCAGTGCTGTAAATTAGGCTGCACCTAGCAGTAACACTATAGAGTGAAGTTCCAGTTGTCTGAGTAATCTGTTGCTGCAGAGTAGGTTAATCAAAGTTAAATCATCTGTGAAATGGGTGGCTTTTGTTAAGCTGAATGTCTTCATATCAAGTTTTCCCATCTATATTTCACTGTGCATTTAAGGCATGTACAGGATAATACATGAATATATAAGGGTCCATTATTTCTAAGACATTAAAATGTAAAAATGCTACATTCACAGTAACAGCATCCAAGAAGCCAATCTCATACACCAAATTGTTACTACTCTGAAAATATTAAGCATTTTTGTCCAATTCTGACTTAAGCAGTTTGTGTCTTAGAGACTTTACCACAGTAATTCCTCAAAAAGTGGAGCTAATGCAATAATCCTGTCTACAGTTAATTGTTATTGCACATGCACTATATTGTACAGCAGCACTAAATAACAAGTATCCCATTAGCCCAGGAAAAGCTTTATGACAGCTAAGCACAATCATATTCCCCTATATGCCTATCTTTCTTTGGATTAACTACTTCCAGGACTCATAACACATCTTTATTGGTGTATTGGTGACTAATTTCTTTCCATGCAAATTTGAGCAGTACGTTGACAAATCACAAAGGAAGAGATCAAACAGTGTAACAGAGAGCAGTGTCGCAAGAAGTACAGATAAGAAAAAAATGTAGCACCAATGATTACAGTACTCTGCGTGATGGCCAACATGGAGCCTGCAGAACATTAAGACATATACCAGAGTTCACATCTGAATTACATCTCTGTTGCTGAAACTGCTTCTGCTGCCTGCTAGAAGGAAATGAGTGTATGAAGAGAACACAGTTTCAAATGTATTTTCAGAGAGTAGATCTGAAAATCTGCTGCCTGAAAAAGCATGCCAAATAGAGGCTAAATGACAGCCCTAATAACCAGTTGACCATACTAGCTAAAAAACATGTCCACCAAAATTGGACAATGAGGGAAGCAGGCACCAGTGTTATAGACAGCATCATGGGAAGTGAGAAATGGATTTAGATAGTAGAATGGCAGAACAAGGATGCTGGGGGATGGAGCAGCCTAAACACAGGATGTTCATATTATGATGATGACAAAAGTTACTGAAGTCTAGTAATGGCATAGAGAAGTAGATATTTAGGCTTATTATTTATGAATTAAGGGAGAACAGCACTGAGTATGGCACAACACTTATCAAGCCAAAATAAATTTATTTGGTCTTTAAATAAAAAAGATCCTTACTGTATCACAGAATAACAAAACCCCTGAACACAGGAACAGGAGGTAGCAAGAGAACAAGGAAAAAAATGGGCATTTTTTTCTGCTCTGTTCCTCAGAACAATGAACCATTTTGTGATTTCATTTAATTTCTTTTACATAATAAATACAACTGCAGTATGTAAAAGAAATTAAATTCATTCTAACAGTAGAGTTAGAAGACTACAGCTATTGAAAATT